ATGGAGGAGAAGGGACTGTGGCATGGCCAACTCTCCTGAGGGGTGATTTCTTGTTTTCTGTCTCTGGCCAGTACATGCACCCATAGAAAAAGTCTCTCTAAAAAAAAGAAATACATTTACCGTGAACAATGTAGATTTACTTTATCCCAGTTGTATTAGTACTTTCAATTTGCAGAACAGAGTTCCGAGTGGTAGCCAGATGGCCAAGTTTGTCTTAGCCGAAAGTATATTGGTCACGTTAGCAGGGAAAAAAAAAACCTTCAACATCTGATCTCTAATTTGTATTAGAAAAAGTCTGTGGCCTGTGGTCACTACTAACAGTACTTCTTATTGTTAGGAAAGCTCTTGCAAAACATTCGTCAAGCACATAAATGGTATGAAAGTGAAATATAGTAATTAAGATTTGTGTCCTATTGATTGTGTAGCTTAAGTAATTTTTCATGACTAACATAAGATTTAATAAGTATAAGTAGTTAAAGATTCTGACTTGGCACTAGTCATTAGCATGTAATTGAACTAGTAAAAAAGATCAGTTAAAGCTCTGTTGATTACCACCTTATCTTTGAAAGGCAATTAAAGACCTCAATCATTGCAACAAGATTTGATTGTGCAGCCTCTATTGGACATTGATCTTCCAGAAGCTGCAGTTACATTTTCCATTAATTTACAGTAACACAGTTTAACTCTGCTACCCGAGACTGTTGACCCAGGTGAGATGTGATGCTAAGTACTTGTTTAGGTTAAGATGCCCCCAAATGTCATTACTCTCACAATAGGGAGGGCTGAAAAAAGGAGCTACCTGATCCACCAGCGTTCGGATAGGGTTTCCGTTACCTGCAGTTACCTGCGTTAGCTTCAAAGTGGAACCGGATCCTTATCTGGTACGTCATCCCACTCGCTTAAACACCATCTATTCTTTAACGGAGTTAAAAGACGGCAAAGAAGTATAGATACTCTGTGTATATTGTTTGGGGCGACTATAAATTGCATGAAATAAAGTGTACTTTTAAAAAGAAACACATATGGCTTTTAAAATTTGAATGGGTTTCAATTTTCACTTAAGTCAACAATTAGCAAAAGATTGTGGGATGAAATATTTACAATTTGGTATGCTAGGACATCGGGGGCACTGAGAAACAAGTTTTTTGTTTTGTTTGAGGTTTTTGCCATAGGGCACGTGAGACAGAGACAGAGAAAGGGAAAGTGTGAAATCTCTCACCTCCAGGGGGTATAGCCATGCCCCAATCCCTACTCCTCTATTCTCCTCTCAGGATTTTGGGCAGCCAGGCACACCTGGTGTGATTTTTTAAGCCACGGGACTCAACTGTGGTCGACCACATGGGGACCCAGTACCTTAAGCACCACAACACCTGCTGGCCTCCCAAACTAGACATTTTTATATCAGCAGCCTCTCCCACGCTTCCAACTCTATTACTGCATCTTACAGTGGCTCACCACTTGCAGACACTACGAATTTCACCTAGAATTATTTCCAGTATTTGATGTAGGATCAAAAAGAGAAGAGAAGCAAGGTTTCGTAGTAAAAGTATTTATTAATTAAAAAAAAAAAAAACCAGCCTTGCCTTAGGCCAGCCAGGCTGCGTGGTGGTGGAGGCGGCTGGATCCCACACAGCTGCCGAGTGCGTGGATAGAAGCCCAGACCTCATAGACACATGGGGTGTGTGCGCACGTGTCTGAAACCCTGAAAGGAGAACGAAGGAGGAACTGTGCGTGGTCACCCCTCGGGGTGTTCTCCCTCCCTGGTGAGCGCACGCACTCTAAGGCAAAGCCAAAAAGTCTTGCCTAGTTTTTTTGTTTTGTTTAATCCCATTAAGGAAAAAAACGTCGTTAGTAGTTTCATCAGCTAAGAAAACTGGTATCACAGCTGAACTTGCGATTGAAGGGTAGTCAGATTATTTAAGAAATTGTGTGATCAATAAAATGTGGGGGGAAAGGGATGGAATCACCTGTAGACACCAGCGATTGTGTGAGAAGAGGATAGGAAAGGATAGAGGGTCAGACATAGAGGTAAATATATATATGAATAAATAAATACATATATGTGAAACTAGAAATGGAAAATTATGGATAACATACATGATTAAGCCACTTTGCAGTATATTCTGGATGGGAAACCACATTTTGTATGCTGTGACTATGATTTGGGGATGAATGTAAATTAATTAATTAAAAAAAAGTTTCAGGAGGAAAAAAAGAAAAATGTAAAAAACAAACAAAAAACGAAGAGAGGCCAGCAGGTATGGCATGATGGTTAAGGCACTGGACACTCCCACATGGCCGACCATGGTTGGAGTTCTGGACCTCGTGGCTTTTTTTCTCACTTTCTCCCCCTCTCTGTCTCTCCCTCTGGTCAAATAAAAATAAATAAATTAAAAAAAAAAAAAGAAAGAAAAAAAGAAAACTGGTATCAGAAGGAATTCCTACTGGAGTCACTTAACACTAGGCCTACCGGGCAAGTGCACAGACACACGCATAGTATCTTTGGTGTGTGCCTCCCTCTCTCCTCACATTGTTTTTGAAATCCTTTCATTAATGGATACGTGTAAATATAAATAAATGGGGGCTGGCAGGTGGCATGGTGGTTAAGGTGCTGGACTCCCACATGGCCGATTGTGGTTTGAGTCCTAAACCTGGCAGCTTGCTTTCTCACTTTCCTTCTCTCTGGTCAAATTAAATAATAACAAATAAATAAAATTGAATAAATAATTCTTAAAGTATATATATATAAACATGGAACAGAAGACAGTAGATTACAAAAGCAGAGGTTTTTAGAACGGACACACAAGCATATCCATGATCCATCTTAAGGTAGAGAGGTCTCTGGTTTTGTTCTCAGATTGCAAGTGGAAAAACCAAGACACCAAGGAGTCAAGTTATTAGCCTGAGGTCAAGAGCAAGACAGCGTTCACATTAAAATTGGACTCAGCCTCCTAACTTCTGCCGTTTATACTTTATTCTTTTATGCCACAAGGCTTTGATGTAAAACACAACTTGAAAGAAAAAACCTTCAACCATTTCAGTTCAGTGGGAAGCATTTTTCAGATGAACAGATTTACTTCGAGAACTGATAAAGCCCATGAATGATATTTTAATTTCTGAATCATGCCTTTAGCCATCGTGGAGTTCATCCTTCACCACGATCAACTCTAAGAGCAAAAGGTCTATTGATTTTCATGTAATACAAGAAAATATTACATTTGCTTAATTGTTACATCAGACAAGAAATCGGGCTCTATTTATGCTGCAAACAGCAGAGAATTACCGAGATCGATAGGGGCGCTTGTCAGAGGAGACGTTCTCCAAGGAGACTTCCCCAAGGAGACTTCCCTATCACCCTATGGACAAGAAGTCAGGATGGCTGGAGCTATCGAAAAACAGGTAAGCAGAGTCAGCAGTACACATTATCAGAAATCAAACAGGCCAGTGAAAAGGGGTGCAGCTCTCTTGAAAAGCTGTATTTATAGGCTGGTAATTAAAAACCGTTTCATCAGCTTGGTGTTGGGACCAAAGCTTTACAGCAAGTATTGACGAGACCAGCAGCAACGAATGAGCAGTATCTGACTCAGAACTTATGAGCTCTAGTTATTTAACTTTGCCCGTTCCCGAGGAAATCCGTTCTAGCCTTCCTTGCAAAATGCTAATAGTCGGTTTTATTATTAATGAAGCTTAATGTAACACTATCTCCTTTGTGTATGCCATTCATTTAACGAGTGTCAAGTATATTCTTCTGGACTAAATATATTGGCCTAAGTACTTCTTTGATTAAAGTGTTATTTAGAATTGCTTTTAGACAAGTGAACGCCACATATGTTTGAAGAACAGTTCACTCTCTGGAGCTCATTTTAAAGGATGACTTTTAGTAAAGCCAATGTGTTTAACTTCATTATTCTGGTGCTCTCGGCTCGGTCACTTCCCCTTAACTTTCTCTACCCACTTGCCAGAAGTAAGCACTCAAATGTTGGATAAATTTTATAAAACACTTTGCTGTAAAAATGCATAGTTATTGCAGAGTATCAGCAACACATTAACATAAAATGATATATAATACATGTTTGTAATTATGGGAGAGATCATAAATCTTAAACACCCATTGGTTTAGAAATTAAATAGTTCTACTTAGTTCTCCCTAAATTACTCCAAATTTCTAAAATTTACCATTCATCTGGGTACTTTGTGACTACCCCCAAGGACACATTTTTTTTTTAATGACTTTGTTTTCAAAAATGCAATTAACTTCATAAAATTCTAATGTAGAAGTGCCATGAGGTCTTTAAAACTTCAGCCTACTCTTCCATTGCCAATAAGTCTATGGATTTGAACCATTTTAGCAAACTGCTTTTATAAATGGTTACCAATTGTACTTTTCTGGGTCTTCCTAGAAGAGCTTCATTATTCTTAATAGCTTCACTGGCACACTAGTTTAACTTTTAGCAAGTCTTCATTTCACCTTGCTACACACACATTAACCAGAGTTATTATTACATTTTAAGAAAAGTACTATAATAGTATATTCTTTAAGCAACAAGAAGTTTCAACATCACACCTAACCCCCTTTCCAGGTAAAAGACACAGGGTTGAAAACATTTCCATTTTAAGTCTTGGCTGTTGAATGGTTTAGATTTCGGACTGCCTTAGATTCTCATCAGTTTGGGGTTTGCAGTAATATAATATTTGCATCATACTCCCTAATATTTTCTACCTCATTTTACAACAGTCTATAAAAGATCTCCGCTTCTATTGTGTGGGATCTACATTTTCAGAGTTGATTTAAACTGTTAATACTAGAGTATACCCTCTGTTTACATGACGATCATTTTTTATGTATAGTTTAACCGAGTTTTAGGAAAAAACTGGTGTGAAGTTCCATGTGTCTGCAGCTGCATTAGCAAACAGAGGATGCAATAAATAATCCTGTATGAAAAGCCTTGCCTCCTGAGGGCGATGATTCATCTGAAAGAACCAGACACCATAGAAAGAAACAGGTGTTTGCCAAAGTTTTATTTGAAAGGATCAAAAATAAATATTGCGTATATACACGAGAGAAAAATCCACCAATATTTATGTTCTCCAACGCACACTTTCAATACATGGCACCTTCGTCTTCTTTATTTAGAAAATAAACTGTTATCGGTCCATAACTGGTATGCACAGTCTCTGTGACTCTGGCAAATAACCAGGAGCCAAGGCCATACAGTAACGTTGGAATACCTAGAAAACAAACGGATACAGTATTGATGAACATCACTAGTCATTAATCACGCATCCACACGTGTCGTGCTACGGATCGCACAGCACTCTTCAGTAATGCAAATCAATCATAAAATTATAAAAACATGAACATCAACACTGACTATGAGATTACCGACGAGCTCCGGTTCATCTCGGGAACACGTGGTGATTTCATGAGCCTAGAGACGCTTACAGCCATAGATAAGGCTGGCACACGTTTTCATTCAAAGCACTTCTCGATTTCATTACCTTCAAATAATCATGAAGTAATCCCAGATTCTTTTCACCAGTAAGCAAATGGAGGACATTCATTAGCTCACGTGTAGGTGCTCCCGAAGACCAGAGCTAAATTACTAGGTCAGCTTTATCTTCTTCAAGTCAGGTAGTAACACTGAGGGCTAAAGCAATTTCTCTACACCTTGAGAGAAATTGGGTCAAACAGCTGTCTTCAAAAACCTACAGCAAAACCTAATACTGAGGAAGATTTTGGTGTAAGAGGTACAAGAAATCCTCCCGTGAGTATTTTTACAATTGATGTGAAGACAACCTTGTTGCGACCTATTTGAAATAAGCACACAGTAGATTCCAACATGTTTCTTCTTTGGAATATTTCCAGTGATGAGATTTTGCTGCTCTGAGATGAGCTGCCACTCATACGTTAAACTAAACACATAACCACCAGAAGACAGGGCTCGGGCCCACATGCATGTATGCTGCGTTGGATCCAGGCAAACTTTCATCACTCCTCGTTTTTTTTTTTTTGAATGCTCTTATTTCAAATCAATGACCATTAACATATTAAAAACACACACATATAAAACCGCAGGCACATGAATCAATAACAAATATCGTATACTCTGCATAAGTATGCCGTTTATTGCTCCCGTGTGGGAAACGAGCAGAAAGTGAACATTTAAACAGATAGCTATGCATCTGAGAACAGTCACGTTCTTCCTAGTTAATAGGGAAATCAACACAGGCTCAGAACTAATCATATTAATATTTTTTTCCTTATTTTTCTGCAAGAATGTATTAGCTGTGTGTGCCTCGAGCTCAGCCTTGGACAGCCTGTCACTTCCCGAGACTGCACCAGCCGCTGATGCAGACTGCTCAGGAGCAGCACGCTGGCTGGAAGGAGCAGGGAGACATGACCGCTCAGGCTGGCACCTACCTTCAGGAACACACTGCGTCACAGTTTGTCACCATCACAGGGTCCCACGGAACCTACCTATGGAACCTTTCACAAGTATCACGGTCTTTTGCCCTGGTAATGCCCACTAAAATCTCTAAATACCTCAAAGGACTGTCACAAAAAGATCTACGAGGGCTGGAATAATGAAGCTACTTAGAAATCGTTTAACCAAAACCTGAAAAATGTCAAGTGTAGGAGGGCAGAGACAGGGTTGGGAAAAGACAAGAGAAAATGAATGAGGTGAGCAGAAGAGAGGCGTGGAGGGACCAGTTGGAATAAAAAGTAAATTTAAAACATGGTGTCACAACTCCAAGGGCTGAAAATGAATGCGAGGAAGAACACCACAAATTCTAAGGGCAAATATTTTCTAAATATATTAAAATAAACTATATAATATGCCTTTGAAACCAATACAAAGGATATACATGGTAGGAATGGCGAGTGACACTGAGGATTTTGTGTTTCATGGTATTTACCACGGTTTTCCATTAAAATATTAATACTTAAATTCACACTCTTGAAAGATCACCAAAGTAAATGGTCAATATTTTTTCGACTAAAATGGAGGACTGGTCAAGGCTTACGGATTTAATCTACCTTATCTCTTATTAAGAAACAACTAGGAACCATTTTCAGGAATGCTGTTTAATAGGGGAAGGACTGTGACAGTTGTCAAAAATTCCAGATTTCTTTTTTCCTGCCAGCTATTTATTTAATGCAGTCAGACTAATTTGCTAAATGGGAAGATCTGACATCTGTATAATTTATACACAAAAAGATCTTTGTCTGTAGCAGCTATATGTAAAGTCTGTAAGATTCCATGAAAAATGTTTTCCAGACTATCTGAAACAAATCATCACGTGAAAATGAACTTGAAAAGCAGGTCTTTGCATAATAATTCATTTTGAGTCAGCTGAACAGTAGGTAAACCACTGTCAAATTAGGCACTTAAAAAAAATGAGAACTTCCTCTTAAGTCTCCGATTACCCATTCATTCCAATGGTAAGTTGCTTTTCTTAAATCTCAATCTACTTCCCAGCAGGATACCCAGACTGATGAACCGTCAGTAAAATGTCAGCTTTTACTGAAGGAAGGCGGAGGAGAAAAGGAACAAATGGGTAAACAGAAATCTTTATTATTTACAAAATGGAAGAGTGAAGTACTCCGATAATTACTAACTGGAAGAGGCAGCTATAACACCCCAGTCTCTTATTAACAGAAGATGTGCTTGGTGAACCGGAGGCGCAGTGTCTATCAGAGACAGCGCGGGTCCTACCACCTCACTCGCACCCCCACATTCAGACAAAAGTCACCAATAAATGTTACCAAGTTGGTGAACACACTGCTCTTTAAACAGTCCAGAAAGAAATTTCCCTTATCAGAATAAGCCAATTTGTATTAAAGCATGTGTATGAACAAAAAGTTTTCCTTTTTGCTTAACTTAAAATTCTTATTCCTATTTAGGCAGGGTATTTAAAATTTCCAGAAGACCATACAACCCATTAAATCACTCCTTGGCATGAAAAACCTACAACTGTTGGTTCTTTTGGCAAAAGGTTTTACTTTTTCATGTGGGGAATGTTCTGGTATTTTTCTGGATGTCTTAATATCTGTATCTAAAGGAGAACCCCCAGTTATTAAGGTGATCTTAAACTATTAAGCTTTAAATTGTGACTTTTTTAAAAAAAATATTTATTTTTATTTACATTTAATCATTGTACACCTTTACACCATACAGACTAGTTTTTCAAAATCATCAAGTCAAAGATGTTAGCGTATACAGTGCATCATTTTTTCTTTTTTTCATGTTATTTGTTTTATTTGCATTTCATCACTGTCCTCATGGCACCTATAACACTTCCGGTATATTTTTCCTAACCTACTACTTTTCACATTTGGAAAAATGATTTCTTCTGTTCGGAAGAAGTCTTTCCAAATAATTCTGAATTGAATTCTCTAAGTTACTTAACGCTTCAGCTTAGGATCAACCTCGACCTCATAATTAGCGGGCATGTTCTGAACAGCCCACCACTCAAAGACGGCAGATTTCTAAACGATCGCACTTTGCTAACTGATCTTACTGGATTGAGACCAGGACAGTTCAGGGGGGGTAACGGCTGAAACACCCCACAAGTGACACGTGTGGGTTCTTAGACGCAGAAATACACGTACCATATTTCAATGTAAGGCGTTAGCAGGTTGGATAATAGTACTGTAACTGTCCAGGGCTTAGCTTTCATTCTGGCCTTAGCAAACTGGTTAGCTAACATGGCTGAGTTCTCATGTCTAGAGTTTGGATTACTGAAATCTAGATTAATTTTTTCACCAGCTATTAATGGATTTAAAACATCTCGAGATCTCAAATTTTCAGACCTATAAAAGATACCCCTATGTCAATGTTCATGCCTTCTGCTATTGAATCAAATGAACATAAACACTCTCAGAACTGGACTATCTCCATGAAAATATACAGATATTACAAAGACACGGCCTTTCAAGGATCTTTTAGGCCTAGCACCTGAGGAATATGTCCGGTGAAACCTTCGATGCGTTTAGTAAAAGGAACTTGCTAGGATTTCATATAAAGAAAACAAAGAAACGTAAAAAGTCGTTCCAATTTTTGAAACTCAGACGCACCCAGCGAGGATCACGGGCCAGGACCCTGCGGTGCAGGAAGGCATGTCCTAAACTTCAGGCCACTTTCTGGGGGTGCTGCCCTGCGCCCTCCCGACTGCCCAGTGCAGGGTCCCCCAGCGAAAAGGCGGGTGAGGGGCCCCGCGGCCGGGCGGCGATCAGCACCAGGGCGGGGAACACCGCGCCGGCCCAGGGCCAGGCGGGCCAGGCGGGCCAGGCCCAGTGTCCCGGGCTCGGGGCCTCGC